GTAGCCTGGGATGGCCAGGGCAGTTGAACTGGAGCGAAGGCGTCGATGTAGTGGCGTTGGTAGTCATGACAGGTGGTAGCGTGCGGCTTCGCAGCTCCAGGGTGTAGCAACGGGGATTAACAGCACCTCCACCAAATGTGAAGAGGTTTATTAGCCGTTAAAGGCAGCGACGAGACAGCGTGATGAACCGTCCAGCGATCGGCACAGCAACGAACCGAAGCACGAGCCGAGAGAGCCGGGCGTTGGCGATGCTGCTCGCTGCAGGCACATCTTCTTCTTCACATATGCAACTATTGGGGAGTGTGCATTCTTGTGTATTGTTTTCGATCTGCCATTATTGAGAATATAATTTTTTTGTTTATCAACTCTCGGCTCTGACTTGTTCTTTGGGCCACAGCCGGCGTCCGCTGGCGCACCAAAGAGGGCCACTTCTAAATTGTCCACGCTTTTGTGGTGTGGTTCGGGGGGCCGATGCCCTTGGAATTAGCCCGGCGATCGCCTCCCGAATTAACGGGACCTGTGTGACAATTAATCTGGCGTCCGTGACAGGACTTTTTGGTGCACAGTGGGTCCAAAGTAGTGAGAAAAAGCCTCGAGTTGTTGATAGTGCTATCGGAATGATTTTGTGTGTTGCTGTGTGTTCTCGTTAACGAGTGCAGGGGAGTGTTCCGATAGACTGATTTAGGCAGATACTTTTTGCGCGTGGCAAGGTTTTATTTTGAGACACCATGGATCTCGAAAAGTTAGTTGCTCTTGGTGAGAAGATGGGTCTTTCTGGCGCCGAACTACGGAAATGGGTAAGCCAGAAGGAGAAAGAGGCGATGGAGAGAGAGAGGTTGACAGCTGAGAGGGCCAAGGAAGAAAAGGCAGCTGAGTTGGAGAGAGAAAGGCTGGTCGCTGAAAGGGCGAAGGAAGAAAGAGAGCAACAATTGAAGTTGGAGTTGGAGAGAGAAAAGCTGGCAGCTGAAAGGGCGAAAGAAGAAAGAGAGGCAAAGGAGCGACAGCTGAAAGAAGAAAGAGAGCAGCAGTTGAAGTTGGAGTTGGAGAGAGAAAAGCTGGCCGCTGAGAGGGCGAGAGAAGAAAGAGAGGCAAAGGAGCGACAGCTGAAAGAAGAAAGAGAGGAAAGGGAACGGCAGCGGCAGCACGAGATGGAACTCGAGCGGCTCCGTTTGCAACAGCGAAGTGAAACTCCCGTCCAAGCTAGAGTTGAAAGCAGCGAACGGGAAGATCATGGCTTCCGCTTGAATCCAAGCAAGCTGCTCGTAGCGTTTGATGAGAGGAAGGACGACCTTGACGCGTACCTACATAGATTTGAGACGATTGCAAGGAGCCAGAATTGGCCGGAACATCAATGGGCAACATCTTTGAGTACTTGCTTGAGTGGTGAAGCGCTCAGTGTGTACGGCAGGCTGACGCCAACCGATGCAGCCAACTATGCAAAGGTGAAAGCTGCTTTGCTGAAGCGATTTAGATTCACTGTGGAAGGATTCCGGGACAGATTTCGGACAGGAAAGCCAGCTGATGGTGAGACGGCTACGCAGTATGCCGCCCGATTTTGCCATTATTTCGACAGATGGATTGAACTTTGAGCGACAGCGCAGGAGTACGATGAGCTTAGAGAGCTCCTAATGAGAGAACAATTTCTTACTAGTTGCCACCCAAGCCTGTCGCTGTACTTGAAAGAGAGGAAGGCTGAGTCACTTGAAGGAATGTTTGAATTGGCTGATCAATTCTTGGAAGCGCATGGTGGCACTAATTTCGCCAAGGTCAAGAAGGATTGTCCCGAAGATTCGAAGAAATTGGCTCCCGAAGAAAAGAAGCGTGCACCAGAGAGCATTCCGCGATGTTTTCTGTGTAACCGAGTCGGTCATCGCGCGAAAAACTGTCGAACGATCTTTACGAGCCCTACGGTTGTAAAATGTTTTAAGTGTGGTCAGACTGGGCACAAAGCAGACGCATGTCGAAACGAAGCGAGTCAAACTCACCAGGTGTCCTGTGTGCTAGCAGCACCGAAATCCGATGTTAAGGCCGTCACAGATGGATTCGTAGAGTTGAAAAGTGGGGAGAAAATTCCTATTGTGGGTGCTGTAATGTCAAAACAGCCAACCGGTGTTGCGAAAGGAATGCCAACGCTGCCTGGAAAAGTTGCGGGCAAAAAGGTTACGGTGTTAAGAGATACCGGCAGCTCCACTGTTATCGTGCGGAGAAATTTGGTACGGGAAAGTGAGTTAACAGGCAAAACGAAACCGGTTTGCCTAATTGACCATATGGTTAGGATGCTTCCCGAAGCAGAAATTGAGGTTGAAACCCCGTGCTTCAGCGGGAAGGTTACTGCTTTATGCATGACGACCCCCCTGTACGACCTTGTCATCGGAAACATCGACGGGGCGCGAGGACCGAATGATCCGGAATGTTTGGGAGAAGACCCTAAGATAGAGCCCTCGCCAACCCAGCGACCGCGAGATACAGTGGAGGAGCAGCCCGTGACGGATCTCACTAGAGCCAAAAGTGAAGCCGCGAATGAGAAGATGATCGTGTTGAATGAGTTCACGGGCCGGGCAGCTGGACTTACGTCGGCACGACCTCAACCGGGCGACAGTGTAAAGGTGACGGAGTCGGCCAGCCAGGCCAAATGTCGGGACGTGAACAAGCGGGAGAATAACAGGGCAGGATCGGTTGAGCGTCATGAGCCGTTAACGGTGTCGGAAGTGACAACGATGGCTGAGACGCCGCCTCATATACCGTCGTTGGAAAGGGCTCGCCGAAAAAGAACGTGGAAACACAAGAAGAGATCGAGCGAGCACCGCAAGAAAGGGCGCAAGCGCCGCTCAAAGTACACAGGATAAGTGCTGAGGTCGAATCCGAATGTGTTTGGCAGTGCTGAGTGCCATATGTTGTGTTAATGTTTTTGTTATCCTGTGTCACAAGTGTATGTCGAGCGAGTCAAAGTGTTCTGTGCGATGATGTGATGTATAGTATTGTACCATTGGTGTAATAGGAGAACTTTGTACATTTGTATTATTGGGAATGTGTGGTGGAGTGTTGTACTCATGTGCCTGTGGTTATATTTTATGTGTTGTGTAATTGAACTACAATGGAAAATTGTATTAAGTGATCTATTGTGAATGTGAAGTGTCATGAGCGACGGTCTATGTTACAGTTTCTGAGAGTGTGGGGACTGTTCGCGCTCGTTTGTGTGGTTTTGAATATTATGAGATAATATTCTTAAAGTGGGGGGCAGTGTCACAGAACGAGCGCTCAAATGTGGTGCGCCGCCAAATTTTCGCGACGAACCGCCGGAGTGACGCCGCGAGGTCAACGAAAAAGAAAGAAAAAGAAAACAAACATCTAAAGGCTCCCCGGGCGCGCGAGCCTCTCCTCTCGGAAGCGTGGCTTCGCCGACGAACCCCCTCACCCCACAACGGCGGCCGAGCAAGCACTGGAAATTTCTAGAAGGAAAGGGGCGTGTTATGCCGGGTTGAGTCATCTGTCGGGGACGGCCCTCGTACAGTCTCGCGCCTTCCCCCAGCTTGCGCTGCGCATCGCGCCGACGAAATGATGAGAACTTTCTGGAATGTCGCGCGGAAGGTATTTACCCGAGCAGCGGGGATGAGAGATCAGGAGAAGACGGAAGTTAGCGCCAGAGCGCGTAGGGTATCCCGCCATGTAGTCGGCGAAGGTTTTGTCCGTAAGGACAAAGCAGGAGAAGACGTGAGGTTTCCTGGAAGAGAAACTTCGGAGGAGAAGACGAAGTTAGCGCCAGAGTGCGTAGGGATTCCGCCGTGTAGTCGGCGAAGGTTTTGTGCGTAGGGACAAAGCAGGAGAAGACGGAAGTTGGCGCCAGAGCGCGTAGGGTATCCCGTTATGTAGTCGGCGAAGGTTTTGTCCACAGAGACAAAGCAGGAGAAGAAGAAGAGGATTTCCACCTGAGGGGTGAAGGCTCGAGCTACAGGCAAGAGTGTGTGTCTACCGCTATCGAGCGAAGACGCGTGGCAACAGCTGCGTGTGTGAAGCCGACGTGTTTCCGGCGAAGAAGTTGGAAGCTTGGAGAGAGGCCAACTGAAGACGCGAGGTTTCCCGGAAGAGAAACTTTAGGGGCAGCGGAACGACAACAACGCTGGACTTTGAGTGAGTGATTCTCGGAAGAGTATCATCCAGACTTTTGTTCCAAGAAATTTGGACTGAATAGATTTTCTATCTCTTTAGTCTTTAAGTGTTTTGGTTGTTCGATGCATGCGACTGCATTGTAGTGCGTATTGTTGTCTGTGTCCGTTGTTTCGAGTGTGGCTGATTGTACTCTGTAGTACGTTGTTTGATTGGTGACATATTGTATGCAACTATTGTGGAGTGTGCATTCTTGTGTATTGTTTTCGATCTGCCATTATTGAGAATATAATTTTGTTTGTTTATCAACTCTCGGCTCTGACTTGTTCTTTGGGCCACAGCCGGCGTCCGCTGGCGCGCCAAAAAGGACCACTTCTAAATTGTCCACGCTTTCGTGGTGCGGTTCGGGGGGCCAATATTTCGGCCCTTGGAATTAGCCCGGCGATCGCCTCCCGAATTAACGGGACCTGTGTGACACCCGGACATGTAGCGGAAACGGGTAACGATAGAGCAGACAGTGCAGCTCGAGCTATTACTCACCGAGCAGCCGTCACTCGTCCAGATACCCGTTTGCTACTCCAGGCTCCCCACACTCCTCGAGATATCTTAGAACACCAGCGTCGACAACGACGGTGATACTCACCATCCCATTCTCGGCTGAGTGTAAAAGAAGCGCATGAGTCCATGACGCCACCTGCAGACAAATAGATATCCGCACCTGCGTTAAAAATATGCGATGCACCCAACCGCATACGCGGGTTCTTGCCCGTGATGTAGAAGACAGCCAACACTTGCTCAAATTACATGGGAATGTAAGTGAAGGCCAGCTAAAAATAATACGCCTCAAATTTCGGCGAAAAATTCATGATGAAACAGTGGGAGACCTTGCTCGCCAGCGAGGAAAAGGTGGCCCAAGTGGCGCTCCTAGACCTGGCGCGGCGGGCTGCTGAGGCGAGTGGAGCCCTGGACTAGGGGCTCCGCCCACCTGTTTCTAACCCTTGTTTCATTTTTTTGTCTGTAATAAACGCTTTACAACCATCAACAGAAAGACGTCTCAATGCCGACATTATTATATCTATAGCATACAATAAGTCGGGAATGACACTTTATCAGTTATTCTGCCCTCGGTGCAACTTTGATTGATTTTCCGCGAGGTATACGACTACCTTGCTTACATGTTCCTGACCTTTATGACATACTTTCCTTTCCAATACCAGTCAAAATGGGAAGATTCCTCAAGAGAGTACTATCGCAACCAATATTAGGGCTGCTCTCACATGTGAATAAAAAAAATTCGTACTAACTAGCGTCTGGTTACATCGTCTTCTGAATAACTACCGTTGACACAGCTCTTTGAAAATAAGTGCTTAGCGCGCCTAAAACACCTGCAAAAGATTCTGTTGATCCAATCTTTGATCGAAGGCGTATAGAGAGGGTGTCATCACTGAGTTGCTATAGCCGAATCTCTTTCTTCGCAGAGGTCAAGGCACGTGTTTAATCCTTACAAGCCAGGTACTCATCATCGGAGGCTGCGGAATGTCATTTATGTCAGCCTTTGTTCACTGTTATCAGCACAACATGTAAGTGGTGACAGCAAACCAGCACCTTGCACCAATTGCGCTCCACGCGTATGCCTTCCTAACACAAGCTTTTGTTTGTTTATTTGTGTCTGTTTCAGAAACGAAGTCGGGGCAAGGTATTCTCTCATCGTGCTCTCTGGTGTAACAAGCACAGCCATCTGCTTTGGGTAAGTTTGCTGTCAAGCTAACCAGATTACGTACGCGGCAAGCATGCATCTAGATGACGTGCAAAAGAAATCCCGCATGTGCAGTAAGCATAAGTAGCTTGAATGCAGATGAGGTTCGATAAAGACTGAATTCTCTAGAAATACGATACTGTGTTTGGTTGAACTGCAGAGTAGGTGTTGTTTGGCTGTTTTATAAGTAGCCAGGAGTCTAAATTTAAGACTGTCTGTCAATCAGAATGATGATGATCGTTGGCTTTTTACGTCCCAAAGCTACGATGTAACTATAAGTGACACACCCGTAGAGAGCTCCAAATTTCAATCGCCGGGGAGTCTTTGACGTGTAACTGAATCAAAGTACACATGCTCAGAAAAAAAATGTCCTGACCCCCCCCCCCCCCTTCGCTCCCCTCCAAAAAGTTTTTTTTTTGATGGGGGAAGGGGGTACTTTACCGAGGAGAAACAATGAATGTTTTTTTTAAAAGAAAAGCGACACGTGCGCTTGGCCCTCCCTCCAATAGAAATATTCCTGAGTGAATACGGGGCCTGCACGGACCTCTGCCATTGCGACTACGTCGAAATGTGGCCACCGCGGTTCGAAATTGATCGATCTCACAGCTTGTGGCACAATATAGTCGATCACCATAGCCCACAGTGGCGAATGTTCGAAAAATGAACTTGCTGCCATTGTACTAACATGAGGTCAGCTGCATTCACGAGGTGCAAAATGATATAAGCATCGCCATATGTTCTTATTTCTTGAATTGAGTATGGTAGTATCGACGCTCAGAAACTTCCCGCCAAATTTACTTTCATTTTCTGTCAGCCATATCGCCGGCATACTGTTCGACACGTACATCATGGAAGGTCATCCGTATGTGCAAGGTGTCCATTCGTTGCTGAAGATGCAGCTTCTTGTGGTAAGCAGCATTTGTGGAACAGCATCGTTTTATTTTATTTGAGCACACGCGTCAGAAGCTTACACAATGCATCTCAATTTTGATTTCAGGCCGTGCTTTTATGTACTATGGCAGTCTACTGCAAGATGAACCCTCGTCCTGTGGCGAGGATGGGATACCTGAATCCGAACGGCTCACTACGGCTTTGATCTGCACAAAGTGTAGCATTCATTCAGTAAGGTTTTCTATTTCTATTTGATCTGACGGATAATAAATGCGCTGGCAGCACTCTATAGTAGACATTGAAAGGAGTATGTTTATGTTCGACATTGGTGTGTTACTTACTGCTTGCGTCGTTTCGATACGTCTCGTCTGTGAATAAATCATGCTGCCTACGCGGCTCCTACATCTGTAATAACGAAAAATCGCGCTTGTTGTTATAGGCTGTTTCATTTGCAGAGGCTCTCACTGTCTTCTTTTGAGTCTGTTCTTTGCAGTATGTCTATTTATCCAAAAGCGACTAAACATTACACAATCTCCAACTAAAGGGAACCATGAGTATAGCAGGCGTAGCAGCGCACGGGTCGACCTAAAGTGCCGTTCATCACGGTCACCTTGCCCGATGTTAACGTGTCCTTGCAACTGGAGGCCATCATAAATTCACTGTACTTTCTGTTGCTGGTACTCGTCCCAAACTCTTGTTGGATCACGCCACACGGGTTTATCGCCACTCCATGCGGGAGCACACGGATTCATCGCGCGTCTGCAGAATCTCGTTTCCCGACGCTATCACGTGATTGCAGATAGAGTGTAAAGGTATAGTGTCTATAATATACTTACCTATTCGTGGGGAGATCGGGCTATAGGCGGCAGCACCGTCCCGAGAAAGTGTGGATAGACGGTCGGCAGCGCGTGTACAAATGCACGCAGCGGCGCTTCGTTGCGTGTGGCCTGAGCCGACTGTCGGCGGATAAAATACGTTGACTACAGTGCACTGTTAATACGCTCTTCTCTACTGAATCGGTGCACTACGCCTATGCAACGTTAACATTCTCCGCGAGTCAAGCGCATTCTGTTGTTCACAGGGATGCTCGCCCTTGGTAGTTCTCTTCACGCTTTCGCACTAAATCACGCCTTTGTTGTTTTGCTTGTACGTGGTTAGCTTGTGTTCCGCCTGCTACGCACTACTGTAGCGTGACTGAACTACTTATTTACATCGTTGTCATTTGCATATTACAAAAGAGAGAGAAAGATAGGTCGTAGAAAGCCCGCGTGTCTGTGCGATTCGTTCAGTACCACTGTTCGCACCTTATATTCTTATGATTCTTTTTCTTTTCTCTCATTCTGTTCGCCATGAAATGTGGGACAGTCGATAAGTCTGTTCAGGAAAGCTTAGTGGCTGACGGTGCTTTGCGTGCGCTACACTGCGTTTATCACGATTACGCACATGTTCTTGCACCAGTAAAAATCTTTATATAAGAGTTCAGCAGAAAGCTTTCATCAATATATTCATCATCGGCGCAGGAAAATGGTGAAATGACACCAGAAAACTAGAAACAGCAACAACAAAAAACCTGCACGTGTCAAGCTTCACAATAATAATAAGAAAAATATTGAAGATATTATTTACATCTTTTATTTTTATATTTTTATTAATGCTACGCAGCATACAAAAGCTAGCCCCGCCGTGGTGGTCTAGTGGCTAAGGTACTCGGCAGCTGACCCGCAGGTTGCGGGTTCGAATCCAGGCTGCGGCGGCTGCATTTCCGATGGAGGCGGAAATGTTGTAGGCCCGTGTGCTCAGATTTGGGTGCACGTTTAAACCCAGGTGGTTTAAATTTCCGGAGCCCTCCACTACGGCGTCTCTCATAATCATATAGTGGTTTTGGGACGTTAAACCCCACAAATCAATCAATCAATCAAGCATACAAAAGTTAGAGTTCGTGGACTACATGAAGAAGCGTAGTAAAAAAAGGGCGTGCTTAGGCTTCGTAGCCTTGGTTCTGCTGCCACAGAAAGTGGTCACCGAGTATACGACACAGCACAGTGGTTCATCGCGCGCCTGCAGAATCTCGTTCCCGATGCCATCACATGATTGCTCAGAGAGTGCAAGAAGGAGAGGCCACAAAGTCTTACCCTTTCCCTTACGCAGGTCGGAACGCGCTAGCACGTGATTGTGTTCTGGCAGTGCTTGGGCCAGCTGTTGCGCATGCGCATTAAGGGTGCTTACGCACACCGAATTGAACTCCGCGAGAAGCTATACTTCGTATCAAATATATTCATCTAAGGCTAAAAGGCAACAGCTGCTATTCGAGGAGTGAGCATTGTTTAGTATTCGAAACGCAAACATCGCTAAGCCTTCAAATAAAACAATTCTGTAGTGGTGTGTTGTCTCGTACTGCGTTGATGTATACTTACAGCGTTGTACTTAATAGGCAATGATTTGTGAAAGACAGGTGCTCTAACGACCCTCTTTGGAAGGCTTCGGACTCGGGCTTCTCCGCAATGCTCATAGACGGTCGCACCGCCAAGCGAGAAGCAAAGTTCAGGAGGCCTCCTCTCAAGGAGGGTCAGTTGGCAGATGCTCCCATGTTCGGCTGTGCTAGCTTCAGTTTCGCGATAGGATGGAAAGGTGGGCTAGTTGGTAATTCATGATTGTTCAGTGAACTGGGAGCGTGGGAAGAACACAGACACGAAGGAAAGAGGAGGCACACAGGACGAGCGCTCACAAGCTTCAGTGTTAACGTGTTAGCCAGAAAAGAACACTACCACTTTGCTCATTTTCTGCGTCCGTCAATAATACAAAACCTTCGTCCCCCGATCAATCTGATTCGTTCTTGAGACACACGTGTGAAAATACGTGGCAACTCGCGTTTTCGATGATAGCCCTCAGAGTACGCATGCATATCAGCTTTGCGAGGTTTTCTGTAGCCACGTAGGTTAGTTGAATGTTATCGTCTAACCCATTTGGTTAGAATTTACCTTCTTTTACATGTATATTAGATACGTCAGTGCTTTTGTATTGCATGAATCTCGTAACATTTGCGCGGAAAGTGGCGCGGGCTCGTGATTTTCTAAAATTTACCAGTGTTGCGCCACTTGTTTTTGTAACATTCTTTGGTAGATGGCGGCACACTGCAAGCAATTAGCTTGTTGACAGGATGACGAAATGTTCTCCGCACCCAAGTAAGCGTACGTGGTGACCGGCTGTTGTTGCTGTTGTCAAGTCGTTCGGCGCAGGGTATTTCTCAGATTGCGCTTTCAACAGTGATGTTTGAAGATACCATCTTGACGACGAGAATTTTTCGCTGGACGACGTAGAAGGCTGTGAAGGCACCGAGAGGGACAGCGACGTTTAACGATCAGCTGCTTTCTCACGAGGAATGAGTTGCGCTTCACGTGCCGTCGTGTACTATATATATATATATATATATATATATATATATATATATATATATATATATATATACAAACGCACGCACGATCATACGTCAATGTAGTTGCATCTTCCCACGAATCTTGGTATCGCTTTCGAAATATTTATCTGAAAGGCCGATGCAAAATACATTGACCATCTCGCACTGCACTATATAGCCAGGATGTAACAATAGGCTGATTTGTAATTCCCGGCAAGAAACTGAACGTTGTTATGCCAGCGAGTCCTCGTCAAACGTCCGTGCCTCTGAAAAAGGCAATCTGGGTCAAGGCCAGCCCGCAGTCCGCCTGACGCGAACAACCCAACGGCGTGAACACGCGCGGCGCCTCTCTGGCCCACGTGCATTGAGTCAGCGGCGCACGTGACAGCGAGCCGGCGTCCTCGTGTGTGGTGGTCTGACGCATTGCGCGGCGACCCCATTGGAGGAATCTGCCCTGACGACCAGCGGCGCTTCTAATTGGACATTTTTGGTTGGACCCGGTGCCTATAAAAGAAGCCCTGCGGTGTGTCGCGATCGGCAGTCCTATGAGAGAGGAGTCCCCATGTCGGAGAGCCGACATGTGTGTGAGTCGGCGGTCTTAGGCGAAAAGTTGACCTATGTGTTAGAGAGGAGAGCTCGGCTCTTCGAGTCTCTGTCGGCCCCATTGCCGAAATTGTAACGCCTCTGTATATATGCTGTACATAAACCTTGTTTAACTCACCGTCGTCTCGTCCGCTCGTCTTATCAGCTCTGCGCAGAAGCAGTCGCGAGCTGAGAAACATACGCTACCAAACGGCTGGTGACCTTCCCGGCGAAGTTGAAAGCAGTGGCGCCTTCGAGGCCGTGTTGGCGTCGCCGTCTTTCGCAACAGTGGAGGTCAGCGGTGGGATTTCGGAGGTGGCTTCGCAACAGTGGTTGGCAGCTGCGGGATCGGCCGGCGTCAGCGACATCGATGCGGTGAGTGCCTGATGTTTTCCCCTCAGTTCACCAGACTACTCTAGCTCAGGTTGTAGTAGTTTAGAGAAGGGCTGTGTGAAGCATTAGAGTGAGCTTTGATCGTTTCAAGCCAAGTTGAAGTGCTTTGAAACCAAAGTTAATGCGGAGGTGGTAAACACGGGAGTGTGAAAAATTGCTTGCGCGTCTTGCTAGTAGACTTTTAGTGGGTACGGCAAGTAAATTCTTAACAGGGGCAAACAGCAAGAGGCTAGTGTGAACGATGGAGAACCTTAAAGTGAAGGAACTCATCGAAATTTGTGAGGAACTCGGCATTACTTTGGGCCGTGCGAAACGAAAACAAGCGATCCTTGAGATCATGAAGGATGAGGGAGTGTCGGCTGAGGAAGTCGATGAGGCCTGGGTGGAAATCAAAGCACGCCACGAGGAGGCTGAAAGGCGAGAAGCTCGCGAAGAAGCTGAAAGGCAAGAGGCTCGCGAACGTGAGGAAAGGCGAGAAGCTCGCGAAGAAGCTGAAAGGCGCGAACGTCGCGAGGAGGCCGAGAGACAAGAGCGCCTAGAGTTGAAACGACTAGAATTGGCAATCCTACAGTGTTCGCAGGCGCCTAGCGTAGCTTCTCCAACAGTTCAGGTCAGCGGTTTTAGAATTCGGGACCAACTGCCACCGTTCGTAGTAGGCGAGGACATGGCGAAGTATCTCGTCAAGTTTGAACACGTCTGTGAGCGAAACGCTTTGGAGCGACCTCTTTGGGCGCGGAACCTGCTAGCTCTTCTTCCCGGCGAAGTGTCCGACGCGATAACTTGCTTGTCGAGGGAAGCGTTTGAGAGCTATGACGAGGTTAAGGAAGTGCTCTTGAGACGTTATAAGTTGTCACCCGAGGCTTTCAGGCAAAGGTTCCGGTATGCTAAAAAGGGGAATGAGTCACACGTTGACTTCG